AACAACAACCCAGTAATCTGAGTTGGGAGTCCCTCATTTCAAAGTTGCACATTCCAAATCTACACCGCCACCACCCCCCCTAAAAAAAAAAAAAACATTAGCTTCATCTAACAATGTTAATATTTAAAAATCTAGAGCAAAAGCAGGAGAAACAGCGTGGAAGTTTGGTATGTAAATAAATATAGATAAAAGAAATAAATAAAGTCGAGTCTTCCTTCACCGAACATCTAAAGAGAAGAAAAGAAGAGTTCTTTATTGATCAAATGCAACTAAAGGTCAGGTTATCTATCATAGATTATGGACAATTCCTTTTCTTTTTCAAAGAGCAAGATTTTTTTCCCTTTTTTTATTGACAATTTATAAATAATACATGGCTCAAAAATGGATGATGAATCTCCAGCTGAAAGAGGAATGTGACAACAATCCCTCTTGGTTTGTAATATGGAGTCAATAATAAGACAGAAAGGACTCACATATATAGATTCAAATATCTTGGTTGTCTTCCTCGAGAACTCTAGCATAAGGGTTGGTGACAATGGGAAGTTTTTCTTTCTCGTTTGCTCAGAAACGTCTCCACTGGTGGCAGATCCTTTACCATTAGCTGCCAATCAAGCATGCCCTGCAGACATTGAAGTTTGTTGAAACAGTAGAAATTCCGATAATCTACGGTTAGGGTATATATGTTTGGTTCGAGGGGAGGGGATGGAAATGGGAGGATATTGATAATCAAATAGAGGAATGTTCTCCCCTCCACTCCCCTCAAACCAAACCAAACCAAACAGACCTTTAGTCCTTGAAAACTTAGATGGAGAATTTAAAAACTTAATTGTAAATTCTAAACAGGCATATATTAATTGCAAGTTTCTAGAAGGAAAAAGAAAGTTGTCCTACAATGCAACTACTTAAACCACTTCAGAGTTTATTATTAGGAACGCGGGACATCAGCAATGAGGGAAAACTAGGGAGCTTAAATATTTGCTGGTATAAGATAAGAAAAATTGATCCAAAACCAATCTAAGTTTCAACAGTCGTGTATGAATTCTGAATTGAAATACATCTTTTAGCAATGAAGTATATAGCTAGGAAAAAGATAAGTCATAATATCTCAGCCTATATTTACATGATGAAATAACTCTAATAATGGGAATTGATAATTAATTCAATCAAATCCAATATATATGGCACAGATTCAACATTTGGACTTTACTTTCCCTGATCTTCGAATTTGAACATCTAGGAGCAAAATTATGTATATCCTTACCAGGAGTAACTCCTCCTGATTTACTGTTTTTTCCTGATCCACCAAAATAAAAATAAATTCAGGAAGAATCCTCAGTGAAAGGACAAATGATTACTACTAGCACAAGAAAGATCATTTTTAGTCTCTTGCTAATAACTAGGATAGGAATTAGCAGTTGCAAAGCAATTTACAGAAAGGAAAAATAAAGTAGAAAAGATCATATAATTTTCTGAGATGAAATCTTCTCCGAGGAGGTGATGCATTATTAAACAATTCTATTTGTCCATAGTTCAAAACAATGAAAAAATAATCACGCAAAATATAGAGTAGCAGCCTAGCAGTTAACCTTTCCCATTCTGCAGGTAATACAAACCTCAGCCTTAAATCAAATATCAGCTTTCCACTTTGATTTGGAAATTATGGATCGAGCTCATTTCTCAATGTCTTCCTACACGGTGTCATGATGAGATAAAGCATCTGGGTAGAGGAACAAAATTAAATGAAAAAATATACTTTCCTGAACTAAAACTAGATGCTCGGTCACAATGCATGAACTCAGTGTTACAAGAATTTTTACAAGAATGATTCTTGCATGCAATTATAGATACAAACTTTTATGCCTCACCCCTACGGAAGAAAGGGCAGTTTCTGCCTTTAGAGAAATAGCAAAACCATTCTTCTCTACTTGTGTTTCTCTACCTTCACCCCACATGTCAAGAAAGATATGATGTTGATGGCATCTAGAAAAGATGACTAGGACAACTGAAACGTGATAAAAAGAACGGTAATATGGTTTACAATATAAGCAAGAAGGTGTTGGCAATTGAGTGAAAGCCTACTTCCATCATTTTCATAGCACCAACATAGCCAATTTCACTACTTCATCCATATCAGAAAAAGAGCATGACTTATTGACTTCAAAATTTATGAAAGCAAAATTCACATTTTCAAAAAAAAAAAAAAAAGAGTCAAAAATTTAAGTCAGTGTAGGAATCGAAGCCACTGAAAGACTATGTCTACGAACCTAACGTGCCACTGTTGCAAAATGTTGGAGTTGTGGTGTTCAAGCTGCCAAGTAGCAGCAAGTGAAAATGAAAGGCTGCACAAACTGGCAGCAAATGAAGAAGGGAGAGCTGCACCAAAGCACGGTAGCAGCAAAGTGCAGCAAGCTATGCTGCAAATGTTGATGAAATGAGGCTGAAATGAAATGGAAATACAAATGCAGCTGAAATGAAAGGCTGCAAAGTGGCTGCAGAGCTGCCAAAGTACCCAAGGCTGCAGCAAAATGAGCTGTTACTCATTTCAAATTTTAAATGTATTTTTATTGTTTTTTAATGTAAAAAGTTGTTTGAATTTTGAATTGTTTAAAGATTGTATTCTCCTATAAATAGGAGAGATTGTTAATGAGAAAAGTTGAGTTGAAGTCATATACTTCTCTCCATTTCAGCTTATGCTCTGTTTTTCATCTTCCTCTCGGTTCTCTCCATTTCTTTGTTTTAAAAAACCAACACAAAAGATAAACTTTGGCACTAGTGGGACGAATCAAAACCACCAAAACTCAAAATTCCCACATCCCAAAAATTCAAAAACTGGAAAGTAATGCAGAAACCACACTCTATTCCAAAGGATCATCAAGATAGTAAAGCATATTCGTCCTTTGGAGAAGAGGGTTCTGCAGTCTGCGTGTTGGCTTCTGGGGACTGAGAAGTAGGAAAAGAGCACGATACCTGAAAGATAAACATTCTGTCGAAAATTCAAAAGGGTTGCTTGCTTGGTGAGGAAACCATGGCCATGTTTTGTTTTGCTCTTGTTCTTGAACTGGAGAAACAGAGCAACCACAGAGCCACAGCCATAGCCACCACAATGCTAGAGTTCCATGCATAGCGTTGCAATTGCAGTTTACCTTCAACAGCCATTTCTCGGCCTCAAAGTACTGGGCCACCTTTTAGAGGAATTCAACTGGGCCGACTTGGCATCCGATTCATCATTCATGTTTTGAGACGATCGAACATGGCTCACTGGACTCACCCCTCCCAAGTCCATTCCAACTAAATAAAATTCTAAATATATTGTTCGTCCAGGAACATAGGCCAAATGCCCAAAAGTATGCGCCGTTGGAATTGGAACCGATATTTAGATATCACAATATAAATCGAAGTGGAGTGTGGAAAGTTGTCTTACGGCGAAAAGGGTATTTAAACTCATGTACCTTTTGATATACTTAAATCAACCCACTAACTTTGTTTTGAAATATTTGAACCTCGATTTTTTATTAAAATAAATCAACTCAAGTACTTTTTGATTAAAATAAATTAACCTAAATCTAACAAATGACATCATGAAATATTTGTTTACTATGAAATCTAATTATTTACCGTTAATATATTATTGACTTGATACTTATGAACCCAATTTAGTGATATGGTATGCACTAATGTGCACTATTTTTTTGCTGATATAATCCTTTAATGGTTGACCTAAAAACTAATTTATTTCCCCAAAAATAACCTGCTCGAAAGTTTAAAATTAGGGATATAGGGTTTTCTCCTTTATGAAATTCATTTTTCCCTTCAAAATGTCAGTTTCTTCCAAGAGGAATCCGAAGCTACAAGAAATTTCCAGTGGGACGTTGTAGTCATCTTTGAGTTTCAGGAGGTCTGGCGTATGTAGAGGGCCCTGGCTAAGGTTATCCTCTTTTCCTGACTGCTCTTGTTCTAAAACATTAGAAGTGTTATAGAATATTCTCACTTGATTATGTTCACATTGTTATGATTATATTCACATTATAATTGATTGGCATAATTGAATTAATTGATTTTATATTATAAAATATTCTTGTGTATAGGCTTATAAATAAGCACCTTATATATTCAAATGAATCAAGAAAAAGTGTGATTTTTCTTCATATTTTTCTCTCCTGCATTGTTTTCCCACATGGTATCAGAGCTTAGTGAGCTCTTTTATTTCTTTGAGATTTTGTGGTTTTAATTTTTCACATCAGCAACATTTTTGTGCCAGCCAGCATCACTTGTTCCAATCACAATTCCAGTGGTGTTTGTTTCAATCATATTCCACTCGCATACTAGTTTCGGATTTGGCTGCTGTGATTGCTGTTGTGTGTCTAGAATTCTTGCTACATAGATCTTTGCCATTCAAAATTGCTCCCATCTTTTTCGGTGTTCTGCTCGGTCAAATTTTCTTTTCTTTACAACATATCCTCTTTTTATTTAATTATGAAAAAATCTGATATTTCGCAACCAATTTCAACCATGCTCAATGGCTCAAATTACGTACTTTGGGCTCAAAGTATGCATAGTTTTTTGAAGGGTCAAAAATTATAGTGGTATATTACTGGTGACATTACACTTACAGAAAGTTGCTGATGAGATAGATAAGAAATATGTTGATCGTTTGGAGGACTGGGATAGCAAAAATCATCAAATCATCACTTGGTTTTGTAATACCTCAATTCCTTCCATTCATCTTTAGTTTAGATGGTATGAAACAGCTAAGGAAGTGTCTTATAGTAAGGTATACCACTTTTGATTTATCCAGTCAATATCAATTGTGGGAAAAGTTACACAATTTGAAACAAGAATGTGGAGAGTCCATTACTAGTTTTTGTACTAAGATGGAGGCTATTTGGGATCAGCTTGCTCTCTTAGAACCAACTTAGACCTTAGAGATCTGATCAGTGGAAGACCCAATCAAAGCCTAATCAGTCCTCCAAGCCTATGGTTGCTGCAGCTATTGCCAATGAAGATACCTCAATCCATCCTTCAATTAGTAATCTAGAAACCCTTCTTAGATAGATGATATCATCTTCCTCTACATCTACTGTCTCACCTACCATCCCAAGTAAGGTTTCTTGGATTTTTTGCTCTGATTGTTGTAATCACATGACTTCAAACTTTACACTTTTTTCTACATTAACCCCTAATACCACCGCACCTCCAATTCATACTGCTGATGGTTCAAAAATGCAAGTTAGCCAATATGGACAAGTTTCTACTTCTGCCCTTACCTTACCAAACACATTCCTAATACCAAAACTTACTTTCAATCTCATTTCTATGGGCCAACTGTGTGAACTTGGTCTTGAACTAATATTTTCTACTCATGGTTGTCGTGTGCAAGATCCAATGACATGATAGATTCTTGGGACAAGCCGTAAAGTTGGACATTTATTTGACCTCACCTCCTTGCACATCCTTTCTAGTTACATTTCCCAGTTGTGTGCAGTCTCAACGTCTTTTTCTTTGCACTTGTGGCATCTTCGTCTTAGTCATGCCTCTATTAGTAAACTTTGTCCTTTAATTCAAAATAGGTCTTTAGGTTCTATTAAAGAAGAGTCTTTACATTGTATTTCATGTCAAGTTGCTAAACAACCTGCTTTATCTTTTAATAAAAGTTATTCCATTTCACTTGCACCTTTTGATTTAGTACATTCTAACATATGGGGGCCATCTCTCACTCCTACCATGGGTGGTTCAAAATATTTTGTATTATTTATTGATGATTATTCTCGCTCCACTTGGCTATATTTGATGAAAAAATGGTCAGAATTACCTCAAATTGATTTTGAGTTTGCTAATATGATAAAGACTCAATTCTCTAAACTATCAAAGTCTTGAGAATTGATAATGCTCTTGAATATGTCGATTCTATATTTCAATCTTTTCTTAAAGAAGAGCAAGGCACAATACAACAAAGATCTTGTCTATATACCTCTCAACAAAATGGGCGGGTTGAGCATAAACATCATCATATTTTGGACTTAGTTCGTGCTCTCCTAATTTCCTCTTCATGTCTTGAGTGTTTTTAGGGTGAAGTTGCACTTATAGCAGTCTATGTCATAAATCAAGTCCCATCTACTGTCACATAACATAGATCTCCCTATGAGTGTCTCTATGATATTCTTCCTGCCTATGATCTTCTTAAAATTTTTGGTTGTGCTTGTTTTGTTCTTTTACCTTCTCATGAATGTCACAAGTTAGAGCCTTGAGCTCGACTTTGTTGTTTTCTAGGGTATAGGATACAACATAAATGTTATCGTTGTTAAGATCCAATATCACAAAAACTCCGTGTCTCTCGTTATGTTGTTTTTTGTGAACACACTATGTTTGCTTCTCTTTTTGAATTCAAGGTGTCTCCTTCTTATCAAACTCCTATCTTCACTAATCCATCCCTTGAGTTATTTCCTAGTGATGATGCAAAGTCTCTTGATGAGCTTTCAAATGATCAAACTACCACGGCTCTTATTTCAGAAGATTTCTCTTCTGTGGATATTGCACCTGGAACAAATGAGATTGAAAATCCATTAGTTGCTTTCTCTTCTAGTCATCCTACTCGAGTAAGAAATCCACCTACATATCTTCAAGATTACCATTGTTTTTCTACACTTACCTCTTTACATGAACCTTAGTCCTACAAGGAAGCTTCTTTAGATCCTCTATGGCAACAAGCTATGAAAGAGGAATTACAAGCTTTGGAAAAGATAGGTACTTGGGATTTGGTTGTTTTCCTATTGATGAGACTCTTGTTGGATGCAAGTGGGTATACAAGATCAAAACTAGTCCTGATGGATTTGTGGAGCATTATAAAGCATGTCTGGTGGTAAAGGGTTTTACACAAGAATATGGCATTGACTATGAGGAGACTTTTGCTCCTGTTTCTCGTCTTACCATAGTGCGTGGTTTACTAGTTGTTGACGACCACTTAAAAATGGGATTAAGTGTGAAAATATAAAAAGAAGGGAGTCGCCACTCATCCAAATTATAAGGTGGGACAAGTCACCTAAAACGGGTCTACGCAGAGATCGGGGTTCGGGGGTTCGGTTAGGAGTGAGGAAGGGCATATACGCACCTCACAATCCTCCGTTTAAACACGGTTGCATACTTTAACATTGGGGTTTTTATTCAACTTACTCGTTGTGTTTATGTTTGAGTCTTAATAGGTAAGTTTGAAAAAAGGGTAAACCAAATTGAAACATTTTTAAAATTTTTGGACTAAAATGGACAAAGTCAAAGACAAGCATGCATCATAAGCACAAATTAAATTAAAAGGACTAATTTGATTAAATTTGAAAACATGAAGGACTGACTTAAAAAGATTTGAAACTTTGGGACTAAATTGCTTAATCATAAAAACTTTTGAGTAAAAATGAAATAAAATAAAAGAGAACTTTGACTTTGACCAAAATTAAGGTTAATTGAGAATTAAAATTAATTAATCAAGATAATTAATCTAATTGAATAATTAACTTAAATTAATCAGAATTAATTAAAATTAATTAATCATATTTACTAATCATTGATTGAGATAACTAAATAAATCTAATCATCTCAAATCAAACTCAATAAATATGATTAATTTATTTTAATTAAAATTAATTAATTT